TGGGCCAGCACCCGTAGGAGCAGAGCCCTCGCCCAGCTGGGTGAGCGGGACCGGCAGTGGACAGCCGTGTGTCCCCCAGGACACGGCCACGCTTGGTGAGATTTCCAGGGGCGGGGCTGGTTCCCACCTCAAACTTATCGTTAAGTTATTTTAATAAAAGCGTCTTTCATGTAACTTACTGGTGATTGCAGTTTCTTCCCTTGCTGGCTCCGTGGGGTGCCCTTGCTTATTCTCAAAATTACAGTTGTGACAGTCCCCTCACGCTGCCCACGAGTTTATAATGCTGAAACGACGTGGTCCAGAAGGTCCTGCCTCATCTGTTCTGTTCTCCAGGGTTAACACGGTCACACTCCTGGCCCCCGATCTGTACTTCTTCTGCTTCCCAGCATGGAGATGTCCCAGCTCTTCCTGCCTCTTCCCTCTTCTGGGACCTTGGTGCCTGATACAAAGCACTGAGCACTCACTACCTTGATCCTCAAAAGCCCCCAGAGCAGAGGAGGTGATGGTGAGGGACAGAAGCGATGTTTTCAGCTCCCTCCGGCTTGACATCCCTCCTGTACCACGGTCTGGCAGAGAAAACCCATCTCAGCCTGCCTGATGGAGCCGGCAGCGTCAGTCAGCAGCCAAACCTTCATCCTGCCAAGGGGGGTTTAACTGGGGAGGCAGGAAGGGACAGGCACTGCCTGGTGATCAGCACCGTGCCAGGTTGGTCAGAGGACGGACAGCCAGCCAGCTAGGGGCTGACGGCCGCCGGAAAGCGCAATTCTGTGCACTGGGTGGAGGAGCCTGCGGAGCAAACTGCCAGGGCCGACCCAAGAAAAGAGACGGGAATAGAGGATGGGAAAGTTCTCACAGACGATCACTCCAGGAGGTTGAGCTCTGCCTGCCAGATGGTTTTATTAGCTTTCCTGACACACATAAACAACTGCTACCAAAGCCATAATATTTACAGAATGTAGCTTCCTTTGAACACATACAAACTTAACCCCGAAACAAACAAGTAACTGATGTTTGTAAATCTTGTTGGAAGTCAAAAGTTTAGGTGAACATGCTCAGGATGTTGCCCACAAAAGCAGAAGCTGAGAAACGCCTGGGTAACCCTTTTGCAGAGCACAGGGGTAGGTCTGGCAGCGAGCACTGTGTTGCACGGCATCATGCTGGTGGAGCTCGGCGCTTTCCTTATCGTGACCTGTTTGCACTTGAAAGGGTTCGCTTGGTGAGGGGACGTGAGATTCTGTAGTTGGGGACACAAATGCAGCATCGGTGAGGGAGAGAGGAGGTGGTTCTGGTCCTGGGGTCCCCAGGCGTGCCAGTTCCCGGCAGGAGCAGCCCTCGCCCCCAGATCCAACAGGAGCTGTTTGAATTCCACCTTCACCGCAGTCAGTCTGGGTAGGAATCATCTCACTTAACTTCGACGCTCTAAAAACTACATGGACCTGTCTGAGGAAACCATCGTAGGTTGCTGACTGACTACAAAGGGAGTGTAGAAGACAACTCAGATGAAACCCATCACTTTTAGATGGCTAAAGCCAAGTGAGAAGCACTGATTCTTAGGAAAAAAAAAAATATTTTCCTGAAATCCTAAGTAATCTCTCTGCTCTCTGCCTGTGCTCTCGTTCATGCACAGATCTCATTATTCAGTTAGCTCCTTGATGCACGTAGTAGCATGCTCTTGGAAACTGTGTATTGAAGGTCACGTAGCACTGAAATTGTGGTATACAAGTGGCAAACCTAGATCTGAATCAGAAATAGAGGTTTTTGAGCAACGCAAAGCTTGTAGCGCAGGGCCTTACACCCCTGGAACGATAGGAGAAAAGTTAAGCCAGTTCAGAGACACAAATATTTTAGGAATGGAGTTGCTTTATAATGAAACGAAAGAGGAACCTGACATGGAGACAATTGCTTTTCCCATAGGTCTAGTTTCCGAGACTCTTTTTTGTTAGTCATTTCCTGTACAAAGCCAAGAATAGATTACAACCAGAACCCTGATACTATCAAATGCAATGAAACAGTTCCCTGTTTGCAAGGCTTGAGGACAGGACCTGCTTGGCTAACACAGAGAAAAGTGCTTTGTGGAAGGACCTGAGAAAGACCCCCGTGTTGGACGCTGCACAGGCTCACCAAGGCAGGCTTCGGTCCAGTTTTCCAAGTGATAATTCCAGGAAACCTCACGAAGATCTCATCACAGGGGCAGCAGCTGGCGAGTGCGACGTGATGTGAGTCTGCAGAGCGTCTGCTCCAGTGAAGTTATCCAGGCTCTGAGAACAAAGAAGGTCAGACTTTTCTGGGTGGGTCGTCTTTTCAGCCTAATTGATGCCTCCTCTCCTTGGTTTTGAACTTGTTGGTGCATTTGCACCAAATCTGACTGGGCAATAGTGGTCTCTAGGATATTAAGACCTATAAATATTGTGGAAAAAGGTGGTAGGGGAATACTGAAATGAGTGTCCCACTGAAGGAACCCAGCAGCTTAGTAATATCAACTATAATATTAGATACCTGAGAACCCCTATCACATCCACCCCAAACCCACTTGCTCTTTGACATCCCAACGAACAATCCTTTCATCTTATTATTTCCCTTCTCCAGATCTGTTCTTTTCAAAGCCAGGAAGGAGGCATCTCCCTAGCTTTTGCTACACCTCTGTACATGCTCTTGTGCCAGGCATGTTATACCCATCTCCTCACATCTTGTCTTCCATCTCTCCTGTCCCTCATTTCTCTCTGTGTTCCTCCACGTAGAAGCTGGGACGTGGCTGGAAAGATCTGAAAAGCCTAGTGTGGGGGACAGCAGAGTTGCTGACATGTCTCTACTTCCTTTCATCCCTCCAGCTGTGTGAAGGGGAAGAAGAAGCAGCAGAGGTTTCGCAATGAGCACGTTGTTCCCTCCCAGCACTGCCAGCTGGAGCCAGCCTGGTGGGATGGCATACAACAGGAGTTGGCATCACAGGCTGCTGAAGCATGAGGACGATGACTACAACTGGGCCGACTGTGAAGCTGTTCACTTGAGCACAGTCCCTGTCACGCTGCTCATCTGCCTCTGCGGGTTGGTGGGGAACGGAGCCGTCCTCTGGTTTCTCAGCTCCCATGTCCGCAGGAACCCCATCACCATCTACGTCCTAAGCCTGGCTGTCACCAACTTCACCTTCCTCCTCTCCATCGCCATTGCCATTGTGATATTTTACAGCTCAGGGAGCTTTTGTCACAGGCTGGGCTCACAGGGTGTGACAGCTGTGTTGAACATCACCATCCTCTTCACTTTCACCGCCAGCGTCTTCCTCCTGACAGCCTTCAGTGCCATGATGTCTCTGTCCATCCTCCTGCTGGCCCACTGCCGCTGCCACCGCTCCTGGCGCTTGCCAGTGCTCGTGTGTGCCCTGCTCTGGGCCCTCTCCTTCCTGCTCACCATGATCCTCTACTTTTGCCCTGCAGTGCTCATTGTCTTCGTCCTGACCTACCTCGTATGCGTGCTTACCCTGATTTTTTCCGGTCTATCCCTGCTTGCCGGGGTCTTGTGCTGTTCGTGGCAACATCCCCCAAGGAAGCTCTGTGTTGTGGTCCTGCTATCTGTCTTCTGCTTCCCCTTCTTCACTGCTGATTTTGGTTACTGGCTCTTGCTAAGACTGTTTGATTTTTCTGTTTTTGTCTTTGACACCTCTCTCCCATTCGCTTGTGTGAACAGCAGTATCAACCCTGTTATTTACTTCTTGGCTGGGAGCTGTGCAGATAAGTTCACACTCTCTGTTAGGGTTGCTTTCCAGAGGGCTTTTGAAGACATAACAGAGCCCCAAAATAGAAGTGAAACTCCCAGAAATAACACCATGGAAACAGTTGTTTAAATCCCTGCAGCCCCTTTCTGAGAAAAGATGCTCTAGGGATGGAGACATCCCGTGAGCCAGGGTAAGACAGGGACGATGCCTTCGGTGCGGGTCTGCCGGCAGCTGAACGGAATTAGCTGCAGCACAACAAAATGTGCTGGGTGGCACGGGAACTCCTGCCTGGGGTGGAAACTGGACAGCACGACGAAATACCCGTCGAAATCTTTGTTTTAAATCTGTCCTATGCAATAGTTCTGAGCTTTCCCTGTCTCAAAAGTGAGCTTGCTCTACCCTGCGCACTATTAAAACAGAGCCACGGAGGATCTTAGCTCTTGTCAGTGGTTTGGGGTTTTTTTTTTGCTGTGTCTGCGTACGAGCAGAGCGCGGGTGGATAAGAAAGCTTGGCACAGCAGGGTAGAACAATTCCTGGGCTAACCCTTGTGTGTGCATCTCCAGCAGTACAGACACGCGTAAGAATATGCAGATACTTCACATCCAGCTTTATTATCAGGCAAGTAGGCATGTATTTGGGGTCGCCCCTGGAAGGCTTTCCCTGAAATACAGTGCTTTTGCTGCAAACTGACTTTTGTCTGCACATTACTTCAGTTGTCTGCATACAAGGGTTTTTGACTCGAACTGCCTTTTGTGGTTCCTCCCACTTTTCTCCTGGCTGTCCGGATGGTTGGCTTGAGCAAATGGGATTTCGCAACCACGACCTGAGGTCTGGATCCATTTCTGGTGTGTCTGTTCCTTGTCTAGAAAAACAAGAGGAGTAGGGTTAAAATAAAAAAAACCCCAAAAGCACAGCCCTGCCTGAAGACTCTGTAAAGACCTGATTGTCCATGTGAAAGACAATACAGGGAGAGGGAAGGAAAACAATGGACTTTTAATGGAAAAGACCCTGTTGAGTGCGTGAGGACTGAGTCCCTGTAGCCTGGCTCAGGCATTCCCTGCACAAAAGGGGTAGTGGCAGCGCCTTCTCCGCTTCTCTCTTCCCTCTGTGTCTGTCAGCCCTTGCTATCAAGGAGCTGGGGGATACACCAGATCTCATTTGCCTGTGAATTAAGCCACCACCAACCATTGCTTTTGAGCCGATTTTGTTTTGATTGCTTTGTTTTGATGCCCTGGTGTCTGGGACCTAGAATGGTGTCGGAAGTTTCTCTGCCCTTTGGCTGGTCCCTCAGCCCAGAGCTACATTCCACCGGAGAGTCTGGAATGAAAATTGATCAGTACAGGTGCAGAGCCATGATAACTAAACCCATAAAACTCTCTGGTAAAAACAAGAAGCTCAGATAGGTGGTGGGCTGCAGGCAAGGGAGATCCTGGGAAGCAGGAAAAGCACATAGGAGGATCGTGGTCCTTCTGCACCTGCCTTGGGAGACACTCCCTGGATGATGGGAGCCCTTTTCCGGACAACAGTTTGTAACTCTGGAAGTTTTTACTTTCCAAAGGACAAGTAAGTGGGAGAGAGGGAGAAAAAAAACCCCCTCTCAACCACAGAAGACTCCTGCCCTGTTCTGTAAAACAACTCTGTTAATAAACACTTCTAAGATGTTTAACCTCATCACGTGTCTTCAAAGCGTGACTCACTGCCCATGGGTTATACTCTCACTTCTCTTTCTAAAAGCAGCAGCACGTTAGTTACCCTTGGATTTAAGGCAGTGGGAAAAGGATGGAAAACTTCCCACTGTGTAAGAGGCAGGAAAATGGGTGGGTGAATACAGGCATCCCTGCCACCTGCAAATGCGATGATCTCCTCTCAGGCTGTGTACCTCCTCCCTGCTTTTCCCATCAGTCTCCCAGTTGCTGGGAAGCCGCGAGGTCCTTTCTTTCTGATCTTTCCACGTCTGACTGTCTCAGCCAGCCGCAGCCCTCCACCCTACGAGGAGATGCTCTCCTGGCTGTTCCTGAGGAAAGCTTTCAGCACATGTGGGCAGCTCCACTGCCATGGTTTGGCTCAACTGGAGGCTTCTTACAGTGAGATATATCTCTGCTAACTGCGAGCATCCCAGAGAGATGTCATCTGCTGCCCAGGTCCCTCCCAGAATGAATAAGGAGGTCTTGGCACTGTCAACAGATGACTCGTCCCATCAACTGCAAGTTACCTACCTTAGGATGAGGAGCATCATGCTCTGGAGGTACTTGTCCTCCTCACAGACAAGTTAGAGGTTTTAGAATGAGAGGAAATGAGCCATTTTCTGACAGAGTTGAGTCAGCCTTGCTCTGTTCACCAGTGACGAGCTGTGCCATGAAGCCCAGTTGTGGTTTATTCAACAAAGTTCGGGGTCAGAGTTACTGTGTTGGAAACAACAAACAAACAAAACCAAAGAAATCCAAATTTAATTTAGGAGTAGTAACAAAATGATGCCTTAGGTAGGTAACTAGAAAAAGATCAATACAATCAGGATTTTGGAGTGTGTGGTTAGTCATTGAAAAGGCTGTGCAGAGGAGTTGTTCAGCTCCTCCTGAGGATGGCCAGGTTCAGGATGGAGGCACTGAAGGGCTTCACTTGATGCTGAAGCTCGGGAACCAAAGGATGGCCCCACTCCCTGCCAGCCCACACAAGCAGATGAGCAGTGTGATGCTCCTAATTTCTATAAAATTAAGTGGCCCATACATCAGGGTATGTTAATTTTCATATTTCAGGCTCTTTTTGGTCATGGACACACAGGTGTGTTCAGTGGAGTTACTATGCAATCTTTGCTGCGAGCAAAGAGAATACAGGAACTAGAGTCTCTGACCTGCCAAGACCATCTGATCTGGGAATCCCCTGCCTTGCCTCATGGCACGGCTCGGAGCCATGTTTGGGGAATGTTCGGGGAGCTGTGCCAGAGCAGGTTCCCGTCTCAGCCTCCGCAGCTGGCATGTGCCGGCAGTGTTCTTCTCTGGCATCAGAGAGGTGATCTTTGGCATCGGACATCCTGAGTTGCACTGTGTTATCTCACTCTTCACCTTGAAGTATTTCCTTTCCAAAATTGGTGCCTTTTCTGGAAACATAGCTTCCCCCATCACCCCTTCCAAGTACGGCAGAAGAGTCTGAACCCTCCTTTTGGGATGCTTTTGTCCCTGTGGACAAAACTTTTGTGGAGATATTGAAAAGTGAAACACGCCTTAAAATCCTCTCTTGGTTTCCTGTAGTGACTGATAGGAGCAGGGCTGGAACAGATTCCCTGCCGCCTTGCAGGGACGCTTCCTGTGCTGTCCGGAGGTGACAACCTCCAGGATACGATGTCTCATCAGCCAGCCGAAGTCTGTTGCAACAAGCCGTGTTCTCCTGAAGCACAGCTGGAAAGCAGCACCTGGCGTGGACTTCTTGGCACGATCATGAGTGCCAGGAAACTGTCACTCTCTCCTAATCCCCCGGCACTATCAAACCCATACTTTTCTCAGAACGATTTAACCCTGGAATTAAACAGCGTGACAAATTCCCATTTAAAGTACAAGAGAATGCTCTTGCTTCTCCCCCAGCTCTGCAGCCCTGCCCGACGCTGGTTTGCTTCTCTTTCCATCAGCTGGGAGTGCAGGGCAAGCTCTGCTGACCGCATCTTTAGCCAGAAGAGCAAGGATGCTCCATGCGATCCATACCCCTCTCCTGCCATCTAGAGGCATCAACCCCGCAGATGTTTGTGAAATCACCACCAGACCCGTGCTGGATGTGTCCCTCCCCACCCTCTCTGAGCCCAGCGGGTGGGTGAGCAGTGGGGCCCTGAGGCTCCTGCTCCTGCTCGGGGGAATCTGCACAGGTCTGGAGGAGGCAGAGGGGTTCAGTTGGGCTGGGAGGGGGATTTTGGTGGGCGTGAATTGCCAGCAAGGGTGTCCTGCTTGGCTTCCAGGAGTAAGTGGCTCTCCTGGGAGTCCTCGCCCTCCACCTCCCAGCTGGGCAGCAGCAGACATCTAGGCAGGGCCAGCTCAATGTCCTCACCGCGAGGGAATCGGGGTCAGGAGGGGGCTGCAGTACCCCGCGGACGAGCCACACGATTGCTTCCCACGGCAGCAATTGCCTTTACTCCTTGCTCAGCCTTTCACTTCATCACGGGTACAGTGGTGCCGGTGAGATGCCCCCATTGACCCCCTTGGCTTGCGCATTTTTGCAATCCTTTTTGCAAAGCCCTGCCTTGCTTGGACAACAGAGATGGCCAGAGCTCCCCCAGGGCCTAACGTGTCAGACCTTAGATCAGATCCCCCAAAACACCATGAAACTCATCTGCTGAGCCAAAGGAGCCAGAGTTTATTCGCTGGGGTCATTGCAATGGGCAATACAGCCTGGGCACAGGGACCAAGCCTGGCTGAGCAGTATTGCGCTGGTTCTGGGCTATGAGCCCCAGTGCCTCCATCTGCCAGGCTGTTTGCGAGGCTTCGCATCTCCAGGTCTCCTCGCCAGCGGTGTCTTACAGAGTGGTCTCCACCACAGTGTCCCCAGGCACGCGGCTCTCCTCCTCACTCATCGCTTTCTCTTCGAACACTCGTCGGAGGGCGACTTTACCAGAGACTTGGAACCGGCACCGCCGGCAACTCCCCACCAGGAAATAAATGAATGGGTTGACGCTGCTGTTCAGCGATGCCAGCAGGTAAGACATTTGAAGTATAAATAGGCGTATACCAATATGACCAAGAAAAATCGCCACAGTGAGAGGAAACCCAAAGATTAACAGGAAGATCACACTGAGCAGGATAGCAACATAGAGTTTCCCTGGCTGTCGTCTCTGTGAGCCGCATCGGAGTTTGATGAACAGGGAAAGGTTGGAAAGGAGTGGCAGCAAAGAGAAAATGAGAAAATTCACAATGCTTATACCTTGTAATAGCTGTTTGCAGTTTATATTGAAATAACAACTAACCAAAGCCAAAGAAACAAAAAGTCCAGCGAGAGCCCAGAGCACCCCACACATGATGCCTGACAAGTGCTTTGGGCGGCGACATCGGTACCAGACTGAGAACAAAACAGACAGGCACCTCTCCATGCTCATTGCTGTCAGGAGATACATGCTGGCAAAATACGAAAACAGGAACAGAACCATCAGAATATAATTGGTCATACGATACTGAAATGACAAAATACAATAGACTGTTGAAATAACGTATAATGTAAGATTAACAAGAAGGAAAAGGAGCAGAGAGAAGTCAGCGATGGCCAGGTTCAGGACATAGACAGTGAAGGGGCTCTTCTTCATGTGGAAGCCCAGGAACCACATGACTATCCCATTCCCCACAAGTCCACACAGACAAATACCAATAAAGACACCTGAAATTGTCAACATACTATAATCTTCTAGTATGCACCGAGATTCATTAACTGCCTGAGAGTCTGCATATCCAGAAGTCATGTAGTTCAGAGAGAAGTCTGTTGTGTTGGTCTCCTCCATGGTGAATGACCCTGCTCTGGGTGGCCGCCTTCTCCCTCTCTCACCACTTCCTAGGAGAGAGGAGGAAGGAGAAGGAAATGAGGGGCATCGGCGCTCCCAGTACTCGCCATCTCTCCTCACGGCCCCACGCCAGCCCCGGGCTGTGCCAGGAAGGACTCCGTCCCCTGCCGTGCCCAGGACAGTCTGCCACCCCTCCAGTCCTGTCCATGGCCAGGAGGCATCTCCCACCTGCCCATCCCTGGTCTCCTACCTCCTGGTGCTCCTGGGAACAGTGCTGCCGCAGGAACTCCAGCACACGGGGCCTCCAGGCTCACCAGGAGGAAGGATCTGGTGATGGCTGCCAGGGCCACCCGCTCTGCTTTGGCCTTGCCCTTTGTGCCTGAGGAGCAAACCTTTGACCAGAGATCACATCTCCTCACAATCTCATCACATCGGTGACAGCTTCCCCTCACATGTCCCATGGACGGCGATCTTGTCAGTAGGAGTTGGCCACGTCACCCCCTTCCTCTCCTCCTGCCGTCCTCCGGCTTTGTCCTACAGTGGGAGGGGCTTCTGGCTTTCACTGTGTGTACCTGGTGGTCCAAGACTTCCCCCTGCTCTCCCTGGGGGTACTTTGGCCCCATACAGGGGCTTTGCCATAATGTGCGGCAAAACCTGGAACATACTGCAACTAACTTAGCTATAGCCCCAAAACCATAGGAGACGACGTCTACAGAGCCAAGCTCAAACAAGATCTTCTGCTTGGAGGCAAAGGAAGAGAGAGGACCACCATGCCAATAAGGGATGATGCTGGCTGGCTGGTTCAGGTGCAAAGTGGGAGGTGTGTGACGGGCATATTGTCCCAGACCAGGAAGCTTTGGGGACAGTTTCTCAGCGTAATGTGCTCTCCTGTTACTTTCCAGCAGCACCACTTGACTGCAGGGGGAAAGCTCCATCTGTCAACACAGGAGGGTACATAAATCATTCCCAGGGACAGAGGATGGCAGAAAGGTGGGAGAGATGAGCCAGGGACCCTCAACAGTGGGAAATCACTGATGTGCAGACATGCAACAGCATGAGGGCTTTGCTCAGTGCCTCTAATGACATGCAAATGGTGCTCAAAGACTTCTCCCAAGTTTCTTCTGGGAGATCGAGGCTTTGCTTTAATGCATCAAAGCATGCAACATAATACTTGTGAGAAATTTGATGCTACAAAGCCATAGAAATAATCAATAAAGGGAAATGTTTTTCAGAGTGGAGGCAAAGAAAGAAAAACACGTGCTGTCATTGTAGGACTATGATGAGCTGATTTTTATAGGCCCAAAACTGTGGGAAAGGGGAATAAAGGGACTTAATCTCATGAAACGTTAGTGAACGACATAGCACACCACACTGCCCATGTGAGGCACTCTGATGCTCTCTTCCAGGGTCCCGAAGGCAACAGCAGGTCTTACTTGCCCTGACCCCAACCATTCATCCCCTTCCCATAGGACCAGGGGCTCCAGTTAGGGTCAGGCATGAGCAGCCAGGCTTTGCCTGAGCTATACAGGAGTTGCACCTGTCTGAAGACCTGTCTCCATCCCCTTCTCATGGATGGATCTTGAGCCTATGCTCTAGCCTTGTTTCAAGTCTATCTTCGGCCCCAACTCCTGCAGCTCCAGGCTGGACCCCCTGGGGGGAGACTGTGGACCCTTCCATGTTAACTACTTGAAATCAAAGAATATCCTTGGAAGTCATCAATCTTGGGCATGGCAAGCATAGGCAATAACTCCCAAGAACAGGTATTCAAAAGATGGAAAGCACATGAGAGAGGGAGAGAAAATCAGCAATGAAAATGCCTATGAGCTAAAGGATGAGATTGTGCAACAGGAACCACTTGTAGATAAAAGTGCATTTGCAGCACTATGTACCCTACAAAATGTAATCTCAGAGGAGACACATGCACGTCGGGGATGTGATTAGAAGCAGTGGGCAAAGCCCTCGTGCTGTTCTGTATCTGAACACTGGTGATTTCTCACAGCAAGTTGTGACAAGGCCAGTGCTCACTGGCTGCTGTTGAGGGGACTCTGTTGACATCCCAAGTGCAGGGAGTGGGTGTATGATGAGGCCTGGGGGCACAGGGGAAGGGATGGGCATGACCAGGAGTGGTTCTGCACCGGAGGAATGTTGGGAAGAAGGAGCATCAAGGCCATGGGACTGTCAAGGACTTCTGAGTGGTTTCTGCTGGTTCATCCACCTTGTTGATGGTCCCTGGCTCATCTCATTCATTCTCGTCTTTCTGCCTTCCTCTTGCCCTGCCAAATCTCTTCCCCACCATCCTGTTGCTAATGCAGGCTGTAAAGATAGTGGACAGAAGAGAGCTAGGGGAAGTCTTGCACCACTAGCTTCGCACAGCAACACCCAGGAGACCCCAGCACATTGAGCTGAAGCTGGAGGATGGAGATATAGAGATCCTGACCAGAAGACCACTATACATCAGGGAGTAAGTGATCCATAAAACACTCAACCTGCGTAGTCCCAGGCCTGTGCTGTGCCACACTGTGCCGTGCTGTGCTATCCCCTGGCCACGGGATAAACCTGGTTGGTTGACCAGAGGAGCCTGCGGGCAGCTCCCACTGCATGCTGGTGATTACACCACCTACATGTCCTTGCCTTTATCTAAGACTGCTGCAATGGTTCTCATGTGAACATCCTTTTTGTCTGACAGTAGAATGAGATGTTTTCTTTTTTAAGAAAATCTTGTAATATCTCAAATGACCATAATGGGGTAACCTCTCCATGGACAGGATCTGCCCTGATCAGAGGTCTGTTTGATATTGCAAGACCTGGGCTTTCCAGCACCTGAAAGACCATAAGATTATCTGTGCTATCGTCTCCTTCTTCATAGTTTTAGATCTAGTAAATTGTGTTTAAAATGATACTTTACAGAGTCTGGTGCCTTTCTTAATGGGATCATAACAGGTCAGCAAGTCCTGGTGAAAAACTAGGGGAAGGAGAGGAAGGAGGTGACGTGGCCAACTCCTACTGACAAGATC